ACTTCTCCATACCACGGCTCCTCCATTAAGAGTGAACACAGATCCAGATGTCGATCGTCGACTATCTCTATCCGATTGGAAATCAGAATCTGTGTATCCGTTGAGAGACAGATCTTCTCCGGAATATACCAACATATAGTTTCTCGTTCTCCTAAGATACTTGAGAATACACTTTACTGCAACCCAATGATCTAATCCTGGATTGGACTGGTAGCGACTGACCACTCCCACTGCATAGCAGATATCTGGTATTGTACACAACATGGCATACATAAGGCTTTCCACGGCCGAAACATAGGGATACCCTCTCATATCTTCTTCTTGTTGTGGGGTCTTTGGACATTGCTCCTTAGAAAGATGAATACCATGCCTAAAAGGCAAATTCCCTTTCTTGGAGTTATGTATCGAGTACCTAGACAACACTTTATCTATATAAGATGCCTGTGACAACGCCAAGAGCCTTTTCTTGCGATCTCGAATAATCTTAATCCCAAGAACATAGCTTGCCTCTCCCAAATCTTTCATTTGGAATTGGTTGGCTAACCACTCCTTTACATCTGTCATCAATCCCACAACATTCCCAATGAGTAGGATGTCATCGATGTAAAGAACTAAGAAGACCACTTTCTCTTCTTTATTGTACTTGTAGACACATGGTTCATCAATATTTTGATCAAATCCATAAGACTTTATAGCCTCATCAAACCTGATGTTCCATGATCTAGAAGCCTGCTTCAATCCATAAATGGACCTCTGCAGCTTGCAGACTTTTTGCTCTTGGCCTTCCTCTATGTAACCCTCTGGCTGATCCATATATATGGTTTCCTCAAGATAGCCATTCAAAAAATCCGTCTTGACATCCATTTGCCATATCTCATAGTCAAAATATGCTGCAATGGCCAGGAGTATCCGGATGGACTTAAGCATGGCTACTGGTGAGAAAGTTTCCTCATAGTCAACACCCTCTCTTTGGGTATAACCCTTAGCGACTAGCCTTGTTTTGTAAGTCTTTACTTTTCCATCCGCTCCTCTTTTTCTCTTGAAGATCCACTTGCATCCAATGGGTTTTACCCCTTCGAGTAGATCTACAAGTTGCCAGACTGAGTTAGAGTGCATAGACTCCATCTCGAGTTTCATAGCTGCTTGCCATTCTTCCTTATCAGAATCATCCATCGCATCCTTAAAGGTCGATGGATCCTCCTTACTGTCATCAACAGTGACGATTTGGGCTTCCCCGGTATACCAGTCGGGTAACATGCTTACCCTCCCACTACGACGAGGTGCCTTAGGAGTCTGATCAGGAACTGTGGTCTTTTCTCTGAGTGGTCGGACAACTTTTATCGGTTGTGATCTGATCTCATCGGAAAGTAACTCTTCCAATACTATTTTACTTCTGGGCTTAAAATCTATCATATAGTCATGCTCCAGAAAAGTGGCATTTGTCGATACAAACACCTTTTGATCTTCAGGACTATAAAAGAAACCTCCCTTCGTCTCATCAGGATATCCTAAAAACATACACACTTCTGACTTGGGTTCCAACTTCCCAGTCTTTCCTTTCAGCACATGTGCTGGACACCCCCATATGCGCACATGTCTCAAATTAGGTTTTCAACCGCACCACAACTCTAAGGGTGTTTTAGGAATAGACTTAGATGGTACTCTATTCAGAATGTAGGCAGTTGTTCTTAGGGCATAACCCTAGAACGAAGTAGGCAATGAAGAATAACTCAACATTGATCTCATCATGTCGAGCAAAGTCCGATTTCTACTTTCAGCTACACCATTCTGCTGTGGTGTACCAGGTGCAGTCAATTGTGAAACTACACATTCTTCAATCAAGAAATCCCAAAACTCTTGGTCTAGGTATTCTCCCCCTAGATCTGATCGAAGTGTCTTGATTGGTTTACCTAATTATTTTTCAACTTCTGCTCGGAATTCTCTAAACTTTCCAAAAGTTTCAGATTTCCGTTGCATTAGGTAAACATAACCATATCTTGAATAGTCGTCAATAAAAGTGACGTAATATTCGTAACCTTATCTAGCTTGGACGTTTAACGGTCCACATACATCTGAATGTATCAGCTGAAGGGGTTCTGTAGCTCTTTCTCCTTTCACCGTGAAATGCCTCTTGGTCATTTTACCTTTCAGAAAAGATTCACAGACCATAAGCTCACCAACTTTTAGTTCGCGTAAAGGACCATCCTTTATCTACTTCTTTCTCAAGAAGGAATGGATTCCATCTCGTATAATAACATTCCCGGCTGCCTATTTCATCAAGTCTCCAAAATACAAGGAATAGGATCCAGGGTCTCAGAATCCGTACCGAGTAAATCAAAAGACACAAATCCATAAATAGGAGTTTGTTAAGAACTCAAGATTAAGATCATTCTATATATGACCATCGGTAGACTCAATTAGAATTTCTATGCTTAACGGAAATTATTAGAAATTCATATTGTGTCTGTGTCCCTGTTCCACACAATCTCATTATGTGAAATACACTCATTCAATATCTCACTATATTAACAGTGCGGATACCACCGTTCCATTCTAAATGGGAATGACATATATTAATAATATTTTAATTAAAGATTTTGAACTTTAATTAAATTCATTATGAACAATGTTTTTTTTTATTATCCTTAAACACTATCCTCTCGTATATAACACTTATATACTATGTTTAAGGTTACATAAATAATCACGGAATTTTCATTTGATACTCATAAAATATTCGTAAATATATGCACATAAAATGATGAATAAACTCTTTTATTAATTAAATAATAAATATCCTATTACATCTTATGCTTCTAGGACACTATTCCCAACAAATTAGCCATCGACGTCCGAGCCTCATTGGTCTCTCCTGTATGGCATGAGAGCCGAATGTATAAGGAGACTGGGACCGTCGACCCTATACATAGTCGAGGCCTGTGAGACCAACTCGTGCACAATAACACGATAAAGTTAGTCGTGAGAAACGCTACCCTCGACAGATTTTAGCATAGGCGCAGACGACAGAGCGCAAGCAACTGGATCCACATCCCGAGGAAGACCTCTGAGAAGATTAGCCGAATATCCTAAGGTTGTGTCTATGTTTGGAGAATGTCATCTGCACATGAAATGATTACAAGCCCCTAAAACCGCCTGGAACAGATCACTAGCTATTACAGGGGATCTACAAAGCCATAATGGGGGGACAAATTAGATGAGTGAACAGTCCAAAAGGTAATGACAGGCTACAGTCTGAGCAAATGAGGCCACAGGCCACTCGAGTGGGCGGGCCCCATGAAAGACACGGTCAAATGCTCCAAACCGCCTACCATTGGGCATAGGTTCATGTAATATCCACTATAAAAGGGGAAGAGCCCTCGAGAGAGAGGGGAATCCTTTGGATGCATGTGTAATTTGCAAGAACAGAAACAAGATAAATACAATACAGCGGATGTAGCTCTCATTGAGAAGGGTGAACCACTATAAAATTCCTGTGCGTTCTTGCTTTCATAAGCATTATCATAGTTTATTTCTCAACCCACCCTAAACCCTAATACAAATTCTAGCATATTCAGTAAAATTACAAGTTTCAAACTGGTAACCCAACGAGCTACTGCGGGGTAATCCGGTAAGGTTTTGTTGACGAAATTTCACCGTCAACAAGATGTAAGACAAAATAAAAATTTAACCGAAAAAAAGGATTTTGATGTTCTGCCAAATACAAATTTAATTAAGGAAATATATGAGCACGAAAAAGATGTTTAAATAGGACATATTTGTGGGAAAAATAACAGAGCAATTAGGAAAACAATAAATTTACAAAGACCATATCTAACAAAAATATTTTAGGGGATTGTACAAAAAATATTCAAGTAGGAATATATTTGTGAAAGATTATCATAAAAGAAAATGAGTTACAAAGACTACATTTTGACAAAACAATACTTAAGAAGGTTAAAAAAAAATCATCCAAGTGGAAATCATGTATTTGAAATTTAATGAAATTTTTAGAATAAATGTGATTATCATTATACCAAATATATAAATGTTTCTGTTTTTAAAATATTTGTAAAAGAACTGCTATATTTCAGCTTTTTCTTTAAAAGAAAATTGCACTTCATTAAAATACTGATAAACAATCGTCTTAGTACAATGCTAACTCATCATAGGGACAGACACACGCTTGAGGGCTGAAACCAGGAAAGCATCTTGACACATTAACAACAAGCAGACTGAAAGCTCGATTGGAGAAAACCCATCTCTACAACATAAGTTGTTGAGTGCTGGATGGACAAATTGTCAAAACCCACAGAAGGGAGACATCTACACGGCATAGAAAATTCTAGCTGAACCAAATCCTATCGGCATTAAACCAAACACCTAAATCTAACAAAAAATAACAAACCAGACGAGGGTCAGGTGGAAAAACAATCAACCTTATTACAAACAGAAAAGTTACAAAAAGAAAAAAAAACCTCCGACCACCGCCAGAGAAACCTCTGGTGAAGGGCATCATACTATAGGACCATCGAGAAAGATAGCCAGCGAAGAGATCTCGGCTAGCAAGCATAAATCTCCCCTGAGAAAAGAGATTGTCCAATCGGCTTCTAAGTTCCTAACCGGTTCAGATATGCCCAAACGGAGCCACCACACTATACACCACCACCACCAACAAGAAGCCCACGACTAGACGAGCCAGAGGATGAAATTTCATGGCCAGGAGCCCAGCAACGCGCCGGGAGGAAGTGCAGGAGCTCTGGCCAACTTCTACTCTCCAAGGATCTTCTCACTCTCTCTCTCTAGAAAACACATACCAATTAGTTTTCAATGCCACACTAATAAATTTACCATATAGTGTAATTTTTACTAAAAGATAAGGTTAGTCAGGAGAGACTAGAGAGTATCTTGTAACCTTATTTTCAGCCTAAATTTGGCAACTTTCTCTTGTACCTAATCTAGAAATTTCAAATGATACATGGCTGAGATTTTTTTTTTTTTTTTTTTTTTTTTTTTCTTTTTTTTCTTTTTTTGTGTGGAGAAAAGGAAGTACACATATAAGAATATCATTCACTATTTCTTGCCCTCCCATGTATCCAAACGTTCCCTTGCCTTATCGACCTGCAAGATTTACACAATACAGGGATGTGATCAATACTAGCCCATGAGGTATATCTCTCATCATTTTTAGCTTGCAATATGAAGCGTTTTTATAGTTTTGATTTACTAACTTTTAGATTTCTCACGATTAATTCGGACTTTGGTTATTAATTGAGTGCCCAAGGCAAGCTAACGCAGTTTTAGTTTATAGACGACTATTGGCGCCAGCCGCCAAGGAACAATGGTCAATATTGGTGCAATTTGGCTGCTAACCAATGAAATATTGGAGCAGATTCCATCATAAACCTTCTAGAAACGCCAAAAAGAAAAGCATGTTACGGAATCTTAAACCTGATGAGTTTGCTGCCCTCCTTTTTCTTGCGTTCAAAATTAAAAAAATACTTACTAATATTACCGGTGTTAAAATATTATTACTAATAAAAAATGAATAATATTTGTGAGTTTCTTACTATAAAATTCATCTTTTATTAATAAATAGTACTTAGGCTATAGCATTATTCTTCAAAACTAAAAAGAAAACACTTTTTATCCTTCCCATGTGTATACCCATGGAGAATTTTTATGATTATTATTGAAAAACCATGGAGAACATGGTGAAAGATAGAGGGTGGAAAATGGAAATAGGATGAAAAATGGGAAATTGAATGAAGAAAGGGAAACAATAACTATTGGTGGGGTCCACAAAAAAGTTATTTTAAAAGTTCTTGATAACGTGGAGTTATTACCCACGTGTCACTATCTACACTTCCTACAAATAAATTATGACAACATTGACCAGATTATAAAGAGGCCAGTTAATGTTTAGTGCGCATACTGTTATATATAATCCAAATTTGTTTAGTGCGCATACTGTTATATATAATCATTTGAATATTGAAGTCAAGAGAATCGAATGAAATTAAATAAAGTAGTTCGTTGAATCTTACCTCCTTATTCCAGTCAGTCCGAAAGGTTACCCACAACAAGATAAGTGTCTGTATAAGAGTACCGCCAATCATTCCTGACCATATTCCCTTGAGGAAAAACAAAAAGAAAAGAATCGTCATTATACACATTAGTTGTTGTTGTGCATTGCAGTGTAATAATATTGTTATTAGAGAAAATGATATTGATTTTCACTATTTACCTTAGCTCCGAGATTGAACTTGAAGCCAAGAAGTGCACCCAATGGGATACCAATAACGTAGTAACATCCCACGTTTACGTATGCGACAAATGCTTGCCATCCGCAACCAACAGCCACACCTTGTTAAAACAAAATTTAGAAAATACTCTTACTAGAAGATTAATATTGACTACGCCATATTTCTTTTTCACTATATATATACTGAAAAATAAGGAAGAATATTGCAAATTAAAAGAGAATTTCTACGTTAAACATTACTGTTACGTATTATTTTAGCTATTATATTAATTCTTCAACATTTAATTTATTATTAGGTTTCTTTTTTTACAGTGCATCTCAAAGTGTAATCTACCGATAGAGCAAGTATTTTTACTGTTAGATTAATTTTTCAACGGTTAAATTTATATTAAGAGTATTTCTTTGTGATACACTGTAACTTTTTAATATGATCTACACAAATCTGATTGTTAAAAATTTAATTTAACGGTTAAAAACACTTCTTCAATCGGTAGGTCATAAATGGAGCTACACTGTCAAGTTTCCCTATTATAGATTAATTTCTCACGAATCCTGCTTAATCAAACAATTAAAAGATTTCATTTAGATGTCGTTTAGTATTTTGCTTTGATCATTAACAATGGAGAGTGAAAATTAATTACGTGTAGTATAAGATGACATATTCATTTGCTGTTGCTTTGATAAATTTTAGTATTTTATGAAAGAAAGAGGCCATTGTCTGGATGGAGAAAGTGGCTGCTTGTCAGCATGAATTTCTTCTCTCCAGCGGAGCACAGCGATCGATCGGTCGTTATCCAAGTAGCAAAATCGAACTAAAACATTGTTTTTTTTGTTTTTTTTTTTTGTTTTTTTGTTTTTTTTTTTTGGTTTTTTTTTTTTTTTTTTTTTTTTTTTTTTTTTTTTTTTTTTTTTTTTTTGTTTTTTTGTTTTTTTTTTTTGGCTTTTTCTTATGTTCTTTATATTTATTTTTTTATATACGCTTCGATTTGAATAATATTTAGTTTATTTTACTGCTAAAGATAACAAAACAAAATAAAACACCTTAGTTCAGAATTTTGTTTTGACGTGGACTTACAGCTCTAATATCTAAATGGTTCCCAAAATATCTGTATTTCGCAACATTTGAGTATATTTCTAATTGGAGTTAGGCAAAAAAGATGTTCATTAATTCCCTTTTCATGTCCTATACATATTAGTAATCAAAATCACTTAATGAATTAATTAACTAGTACTTTCCATTTCAGTTTTAATCATGCACATGAGTAGTTGCTAATATCTTGAGAGGTTAATTCGGTCGAAAAAAACTATGATCCTTAAAAAACATGAGATCCCCTACGGCCTATGAAACGACAAGTCAAATCTAATGGTACCCAAGCTTTTTCAAGTTTAAATTCTAATAGTAAAAAATTAATTGATCAATATTTTGTTACTAGGTAAAACCCGATAAAAATAGCTTTAATTTCAACTAGCACATATAATTCTAGCCTACAAGAGTTGTGAGCATAACAACAAATAATAAAAAGGGAAAATTTCATATTAGTTTGTGTTTTAGTATAATTGTCTTTTAATACCTTGTGTTTTTAGTAATTTTAAATTGTATCTCGATGTTTTAGCAATATTTTTTAAAACTTTAAGATCATTTTTTAGAATGTAAAATGTCAAAGTTACCATTCTCGTTAATTAACCAACAAACTAATATTAAATTTATAAAAATTATGAATTTTTTTTTAAACATTTAAAAATTAAAAATAAAAATAATGCTTTAAATTAAAAATAATTTTTTTCTAAATTTTTTCTGAATTTATTAATTTTGGGTAAAGTAATAAGAATGTTCCCCGTTCACTTCGCTGATTCGAGTTTAGAATTCGAGTTTTTCTACAGTAAAAAGCTCTCGCAAACAATCACATCTAACTTTTTTGCTACAGTAAAAAGTTCTCACATAAAGTCACATCTCAACTTGAATTCTAAACTCGAATCAGCGAAGTGAACGGGGTTTGTTATTTTACATATTAAAAAATGACCTTAAGGTACTAAAAAATAATTTTTTAAAACATCAAGGCACCAATTTAAAATTTCTAAAAAACAGAGTATTAAAACACAATTACACTAAAACAGAGGGTATCAATTTGAAATTTTTCCTAATAAAAAAATAGCAAAATTTACTGTATGTGTATATATATCAGAACGTTGTCTTACCAGATAAAACAGGTTGAATGCCGTTGAGTATAATAGAGACAGCGAGAAAGGGAGTAAGCTCAGACACAGCATTGGAAACTGTGATGCCCTCTGTGAATGCGTAGCTGATGACGTGGCGCAGCACAAGCACCAGAATTGCAAAGATCAATGATATCAGGAAGGAACTCCCCGTTACGACCACTACTGCAAATTCTGCTGATTTTGGATGACCTGCCCCTACCTCATTGCTCACCCTCACACTGTCATGAAAGATAATTTCCAAATACGTAACACATGATATTAGCAGCTGTATATATAATATATATATATATATATATATATATATATTACTTCATTTCTCTTATCATCAACTCGTGATTATATGCATGCATGCTTAGATATTGATGTTGATTATAATTTATTAACACTTGATTAATACTGACCTGGCGGCTGCATTGAATCCCACTGCAATCATGTACACCCATCCAGATATTGTCATGCTGCAGCCACCAAGAAAAGCCAAGTATATAAATACGTAAGCACTTCAAGGGATAGCTAATTGCTCACATTAACTAATTTCCCTTCTGCTTTTATAATTGTAGAAATGTTTTTGACCGACTATGGGATTGACAAAATGCGATGATTTGGTTTTTAATTTTGTGCTTAGATTGTTTGAAAATTGTCTTATCTCTAGAAAAAGCTAATACGTCTTTGTTTCTAAACAAACTTCAGCAACACAAATTATTAATTAAAAAAAAAAAAACCTATCGGTGTCAAGTATTACCACTAACAGAAAATTGGTCCCATTTATAGATTTTATGTTGCAGAATTCACATTCTTTTTAGGTGTACTACTGGTACCAAATAGTATTACCCATAGAAAAATATTTGGCGCCATACTATAATAAAAGATGTCCTCCATTTATGAAACCCGCCTCCTACTATTTGGTAAAATTAATGAACGCACACTTACCAAACAGAGAGAGAGTCCAAAGCAATCTCAGGATTATCAAGCAACCCGGCAATCAAAACCAAAATCTGAAAATACCAAGTCTCAAGACAAAGCATCACTGCCGAAGCTGTGGATAGTTTTAGAAACTCCCACAGCCCACTAAAAGCCAGCGAGCTAAACCCAGTCCACGTCTGCTTACACTTATCGCTCCGCAAGATATACACGAACTGCCCGACCACTATGATCCACCACGAGAAGCTCAGCATCAACGACGCGCCGAGAAGACCCCATCCTAACACGTAGACCAGCAGCCAGGTGAACAGCACGTGCACCGCCAGCGTGGCGGCCGAGATGTAGGCGCTAGGGAAGACGATGCTCTGCGCTTGGAGGAACTTTTGAATCGGGAAATTTGCGGCATACGCGAAGATCTGTGGGATGAGGCCGTAGACGAACACCGCCGCTGCGGAAGCTATGGACTCTGATTCGCCGAGGAAGATCAGGATGGGCTTGGAGAAGATGTAGATCAGCGTTAGTGGGACCCCGGTGGCCATCAGAAGAATTGTTGAACGCTGGAGATACACGCCCAGCAGCTCGTACTTGTGGGCCCCGTAGGCTTGGCCGCATAGCGTCTCCACCGCGCTTCCCATGCCAAGCTGTATATTTAAATATAAACATTAGGTTACTTTTTTTTTTTTTTTTTTTTTTTAATTTCTATCTCGGGAAAAAGCCGAAACCAAGGTGTGGTGGCCACCTCCCCGGCGCTAAAACAACCTGTAGAACCCGATGCAAAGGCCCATTTAGCAAGTTTATCCGCACAATCATTTAGCAAGCTATATATAAGTTATGATTGAAAAAGGTCGCACTAATTATTAAACTTTATCACAGTTAATAATTAAAAAGTTATATATATATATATGTACTATATATTACCATGAGGCCGTAGGCGAAAACTTGGATGCCGGTGTTGCCGAGAGAGGCGGCGGCGAGTTGGAGATTGCCGAGGTGGCCGCAGAGGATCTGAGTGGACATGGAGGTGACGTTGTTGAGCAAGTAAACGATGACGGCCGGAGCGGCGAGGCGGTAGAGGGTTTTGAGTTCGAGGCATGTGGCCGCCTGGAATCGCCGGAAGTATGAGAGGTCAGAGTTTGATAGTGTTTCTTCAAGTTCCGAGCTGATTGCTTCTGGTGATAATATAGATGATGCTTCTTTCGTCGCCAAGATGGGTTCATGTAGGTCGTTGTTAATGGACTCCATATTGCTCTTCTCTCTCTTTCTCTCCCTATCTCTCTCTGGATTAATTAAACTAATATAAGCCTAAAAACAAGCCCACCGATAGGTCACTTTTGTATCGCCTGGCATGTGGACATATCGCTGCTCAACCACCTCAAAATTTCCTTGTATACTGGAAAATGGAAATGATATATATATATATATAGACCCGTCCGTCCGACCAACAAGTGATGGATACGTATGCCTGTGCGTAAGTGCCTGTTATTTTCTCCTTTGAATTTTTCTTTTTTCTTTTTTTTGGTCCTGATTAACCATGAAGAAAAATCTTGATGTAGACCCTTTAAAGGTATTTTCACTATTTTCATTCAAGTTTAAAACAATAATATCATTCTCGGTCCATATATATAAACTTTGATATTTTCACTATTTTTCCTCAAGTTTAAGAACAACAATGCCAATCTCGGTCCTTTCAAAAAAAAAAAAAAAATATATATATATATATACATATATATCAATCTCTGTCTATGTATATATATAAACAGTGGTGTGGTGGAGCCGATCTTTCACTTCAGTAGAGCGTATATTAAATTTTTTTTAACAAATTATCTTAGTAGGGACATATAAGAAAATATATTTATTTTAGTGAGAACATATATTATTTCAGTAACAATTTAAGTGTAAAATTTTAAAATTTTTAAAAGTAATATTTTTTTTTTTAAAAAAATTTGAGCGAAGACAGTAACAGAACTGTACTTAAATCTCCCACCACGTATATAAACTTTGGTAGAACGACCTGTTTTAATATTAGTTCAGTTCTATTTATGATGATCTAATGAATAATGACAAAAATATTGAGTAAGAATGGACCTTTAGTATTGTAATTGTTTTTTTTTTTTTTGGCTCATTATTGTAATTGTTTCTACACAAGTACGTAGGTAGGTATGATATTACGACCTCACTCTTTTGAAAGAGGTTTTCCAATAATATTTTCTCCTCTTTAGCTAGGTGAACAGAAGATTTGACCAATTAATTATCGATAATCAATAATGTTATCAGAGGGGTCATGCTGGTACTTAACTTTATAACTTTTACACCAAAAAAAAAAAAACAAAGAGAGAAACAAAGCAACAATGAGAGGTAAAAGTAATACTGTAGATTTTAAAAAAAAATATTTTTAGTTGTGCTGAAAGAAAAAGTAACTATTCCAAGAAGTAGCTGAGTGTTTGGTAAATTGTAATTATAGTAGCTGTGCTGGTTCCAAAATCAATAAATAGCGTTTGGTAAATTTTGAGGTGGAATTGCTGTGGGTATATAAAATGACCAAAATAGACATGATATGAAATTTAAATATATATAATTGTTTTTAGTATTTAAAAATACTTGTTTAACTTAAAAAAAACATAATGTTATGATTTTAAATTTTTTAACAATAAATTTATGATAATTAATTCTCTTTTTTTTCATTTCTTCATTCACAATATAATTACAACTAAAAATAGCATAATGATAAATTATCAATCTTGTTAACGCAACCAAATATTATAATTATCAATTTTAGTGGGGTTCTAAAAAATCTGCAAGAAACTTCGATGCTATTACTCCTAGTTCAGCTCTTTCTGCTTATTGCCCCTCTATGAAAGGCTTCTAAGTATGTTATGCTATGAACAAAGATTGGTTAATACTAATTACGCCAATGCCTTTCATTCATTTTGATTACAAAAATGAGCTGATAATTGGTTTTCACTTTTGCAGAGTATCTCCTATGGGTATGATATTCATTCCATGCTACAAAGGTTTGACCTTTCTCCCTTACTACAATCCACAATTTGAAAATGCCTCTTAATTAACACTAACTTGGTTTTGCAGGTTACAGCCATAAGCCTGAAGAATTTTCCTCCATTGATGACATATCTAATGGGGTTAAGGTCTTAGCACTTTCCCTTGCCAAGTTGTCAATCCAATGAAGCACCCCCTGTAATTAAACTAGAAACAGACTTTTTGTAGGCAGTCTGAATAAAGTCCTTTTTGTGTGAATAATTTGAATAAAGTCCTTTTCTTTCTCATTGGCATTGAAACAAAATTGGAAAACATATTTGCAGTCTCATTCTGTGCGTATTCTTGTGCTTATTTGCTGTTCAAAATTGAATTTCAGTGAACATGAGTGAGAGAGAGATGAAAAGAACTTGGTATTTATTTATGTACTATCGTGCCAACTAGAAATGGCAGAAACAGACATCAGAAACTTTGATCCCAGAATGTCTACTCCGATCAGAACAGAAATGGCAGCACTAAGAAGGACATTTGTTCTATCAGAATGTCTACTCTAGTCTAATTCACTTGACTATACTACTAATAGCATCTCCAATTCGCATTCAAATTTTACAAGGAAACAGAAAATCAGAAACTTTTTGATCCCAGAATTATAACTCCTGTTGGTTTCTGCTAAAAATCTGAAGCTAGTAAATCAGCAGCCTTCTTAGTTTGATGTTGCAGCAACAGCCGAGCTCTCCTCCAGCTTATCAGCTTGCCCAAGCAGAGTCTCAATCTACAAGAATCAAAGGCGAGAAAAATCAGAAAAGTTTCAATTTTATAGCAAAACAAATGAAAAGGGAATTTCCAATTTATAATATTAAAGTTCACAAAATAGCAATCTGAGCCTTCATAATCATCCGGCCTTTCTTTTCGTCCTTGGATTTAGCAACAGTGGATGTGCTTATGTATGTCGCATTTCCCAAATGACAACAGCCATATTACATTAGACAGGAGAAAAATAAATGTTTAAATGATGCAAATAAGTAAGAAGTATTCGACTGCTTACTCTTTTGAATTGCCAGTCCATTGCGTTTTAGAATCTCAGAAATCATGACAACAGTTGGAATAGCTGTATGAAATAAGTGAAGAACTCAACCAGTTAATTATCTGACTTTTACAAACTTTGTCAATTCTCTCAAATCGTTTTCCTTCCATTCCAATCTTTTTTCTACTCAGTTATATTATGTAACTAATATGGTCAGATTTAACTTGTTCACTTTTAAAGAACTTAAAGAAATTGAAAATCCAGGAGTTAAAAAAAGAAGAAAAACATATCAATGTGCGACAAGAAAAAGAAGAGTCAAGAAATTGTACCCATCCCCAGAGCAGTGAGTTCAACATCATAGTACTGCTTCATGTACTTCTGTAACAAAGATAGATTACATTTGTTAATATAGAATATATGAAGAAAACCAATCAATCAAACAAGAATAAAAGCCCATTTCTATTTTTTCTCATATATATATAAAAGAAGAATCTACAACCAACAGATCTAATATATCAAATTCCCATCAGAGAAAGAACTAAATTCACCCATGAACTAAATTTACAGAAGTTATCATTACAAGTTAATTACAACCCAGAACGATCAAACAAGACTATAATATTGAATGCATGAGAAAGTGGTTATTATATTACAGAAGAAACAACAGAAAAGAAATATGCATTACAGTCCTGAAAAGCTAAAAACAATCACAGTCAACAGATCGTATGTTTTGCAGAAATACGATTATAATAATGAACTAAAGTTCTTGATGATTCAAGAAAATCGAAACTTCAAAAAGGAAAAATAAAAAGAGAAACTCAACCAAACGAAAAAGAAACTCGAAGAACTTCTTAACGTGCTCGGAATCGAAGCAAAAACAGAAAATTAAACCAAAAATCCTAATAAATCCCCGAGACTTTTCTCAAAAATTAAGTAAGATTCAAGATTGTGAGCTCCAACCAGATCCGGTCTCAGCCAGCATTCTCAACATCGGCAATCATGCAATTACAATTCTTTGCTGCTTCTTGCTTGTGTTTGCTTTGGAGATTCTACAAAACATTAAAATCTAAAAAACTATCAACAAATGACAAAAAATAATAAAAACCCATTAAATTAGAGTAGAAAAATATACCTCAACAGTGGCATCAAAGCCTCCAAGATATCGAATTATAGCTTCCTGTTTCTCAAAAACATCCGAAAATGTCGCTTCACTGCTTCTACCCACCATAAATTGCTTGAAAGATCCTACTCTTCTCGCGTTCTTCAATTCATCCGCAAAGCCTAAAATTAATCATCTAAATAATTAAAAAATAACAACACTAATTGGTAATTGCCCAAAAAAAACTACAAAATTGAAGGAACTAATCCTCAAATGCGGGATTTTTCTTTTGAAATTTTAATAGGTATGAGCTAAAATGACAGAGCAGTGACAAATAAACCTACGGAGAAGGGTGAAAGACTCGGAGGTGATTTAGGGTCCTTCATCGGAGGCCTTTTCGCCGGTGAATACTCATTTGATCTTGTCCATCCATGAGTTCTGTAGAGGCATTGTGGAGGAGATCCAACGGTGCTATGAAGGAACCGAAGAGAAGATAAAGCCGGAGTTTTTCTTGTATAAAGTGTAGCCAAGGATTCGTGAATAATGCATATTCTCGGACTTCCTTTCTGATCACAAAAATGTTGATATGCTCCTCCAATCAATTGGGTAGCAGAGAGAGAAACGGGGAGAGAGAGAGAGAGAGAGAGCAGAGAGGGAGACGAGAGAGCTCAAGAGAGAAGAGAGAACAAGACCGCGAAGAGCAAAAAAATTTTGGGTCTGGAATTGTTTTCATTCAGCAGGGGTAATATGGTAATAACGAAAGTTTCATTAAAGACTCCCTTAGATTGCCGCACAATCTAGAATCAGAAGCAGCCCAAAGCTGCTTCTGATTTTAACTTCAAATTTTCTCCAAATTCTTTTAGAAGCACTTTTTTAAGTTTTTATCAAACACAAAAAATAGTTTTGGCTGGATAGATAATTAATTTTGAGCTCCTAAAATCCCCACCAAACGCACCCTTAGAGTGTTTAGATTTATACTTTTACTTTTATTATTAATTAATATTTTTTTAATTAATATAATTATTTAATTAAAAAATATTAATTAAAAATAAAAAATTAAAATCTAAACTCATTCACTCTTAAAAATAAAAATTATTTTATCTCCTTGTCCCTTCGTATCTTGCACTCATTGCAAGGACAGGCCAACAAATCTTGTAGTCGCCCTCGAACATATCTCGTACCTTTTCTCTCTTCCTTTCCTCTTATTCTTCTCTCTCTCTCTCTCTCTCTCTCTCTCTCTATTTGTCTTTGTTCTGCAAACCAGATCACCATCAGAGAACACACATACCACCGTAACAATGACTAACAGAAAGAAAGGATCTGAACTTGGGAATGAGAGTGTTATTGGTATTTTGTTGTATATTAAAATATTGCACTTAAAATTTTCTGACATTTACTAAAGCCATTACGAATTTCTGCAAATTATTTTAGAAAATTGTTCACTCTTAAAATTTTATCATCCTAACTATAATTGGAGGAATTTGGAGACAAAAATCTTATAATGATGATGTTTCAGAAATGTGACCCTCTAGTGAGGGGAATTCCTAAATTATTATACAAAATAAAATAACGAAACGTTTCTTTTTATTTGAAAAGTAAAACTTTTGATAAATTTTAATAGTAAACTTTTTGTTTGAAAAGAAAAACTTTTGATAAATTTTACGGTACCAATTTTTATACTATGGAGACCTGTGAGGCAAGATTACGTGACTCTCCGCCGATGCTAGGCCAAATCCGACAATACTCATCTCGAGCTTGTGTACCAAGGTTGTCGCATCATCGAGGCTATCATGAATTTGAGTCCTCTACGACATTGCATTGACACTTGCAAGGCCAATGGTCTCGCCTTAAGACTAAAGAAACGACCAGATCTAGTAAACTACTGATTAGACACAAGTAAACTACTGGTTTACTGGTTTTTTCTTTTTGTTCCTTTAAAACAAAGACATAAAAGGAAAAGGAAAAAAGGTTAACCAGTTTTTTATATATTATAGAAACAAAGAGATAGTGATGGATGAGGAGAAAGAGAGTTAGCCAACGGTTTACTTATTTTCCATAGAAGTAATCTAACAGTTTTTCTATCAAAAGTAAAGTAGTTTACTGATTAACAATTGTTGTTGGGGCAAAGCTGGAAAAATAGAAAGTGGTAAAACCGAACAATCTCTCCCTCAAAAGTAATACGTAGCCTAATTACTTGCATTTCTCCATGTTGAATTGCAAATGTAAGAAGTACACTTGATAGGAAATGGAGTTAGGGGACCACGCACTAGAAAAGAGAAACGTCTTCTTGTTGATGGCTGTGGGGATCCACATAAAAATGCAGCAAGGGGATTAAAAGTAATTGTACTTCGTTTAGATATTGTTTGGTATGGATTAAAAATTGTTGTACATGACCACTTAAACGACATTGTAACTCTTTGTTCTGCAATTTGATAAATAGTATAATATCAACTGCGTGTAGTTAAAGGTCAATGTGTAACATATGCGTTCTTATTTTGTAACAATATTCGGTACTCAGTTTTTTTTTTTTTTTTTTCCCCTTTGAAGTAAGAAATATTCTGAGTACATGGTCCAACAAATCTCTTTTGAGGGACTAAGTTGTTCTAATTATTTTGTCACTTTGAAATATTTCGAGGAATGGTAGTGAAGAACATAAGAAATTATATGTAATGCATATAATAAAGGAAACAACTACTTCCATGGGAAGATTGTTGTTAGAGCAATCAAATCTTGTCAAAAGATGATCCATTTATTGCCAAGAGCTACCAAATGCCAACGGTACTAAGAGAGAGAGAGGTGCTGAAATAAATGCTTCAACAAAATATCATATGTTAAAGTTGGTTTCTAATTTCTGTAAAAACTAGCAATAATTTCAGTGTACAATTGCAATAGATTCATAACCAGTAACATTGTGAAGCCATTTAGCAACCCAAAAAAAAAAAAAAACCGTTGTGTAGCCTCTTAACCAACTCCTTCGTTGGTGGATGCTTTCTCAACCTCCAACAATCTTGCTATTTATTCTCCAGTGCGCAAAAACCGAGAAATGAGCATACATTCATATGACGGTCTGAACCCGTTGAATTTTCCCTTCTCTCTTTAGATATGTACTTATTTATTCATCTATTAGGCAGTTGAAGAGTTATGGAAACAATACTCTTCATTTTCCAACAGGGCCTCTAAAAAAATAAATAAATAAAAAAGAACTCTCCAATGGGGTCAACGATTTATAAAGCACTGTATTATCGTCAATGAATTACCGATCGAATTGGTGCACTTAATGTGTACTTTAATTTGATCTAAATTATTAGAATTAAGAAATAAAAGAGGCCAAAAAGAGAGCAAGTTTGTGGTTAGACTTGAGCCATAATGTGGAAACTAAAGTGGGAGAAAACAAAATTTTCTATATATATATAAATATATTTGTGGCTGCAATTCGCAATCCGAATCTTTTTCATGCTAATCTGATTTTGTCGTAGTTACTAGTTACAATATAACGTTCCTTCTCACCCTTCCTAAAAATTCCTTTACAAGAATCTTATTATACAAGCAAGCAAGAATCACTAATCAATAACATATGACCTGAAACACAAACAACAATCAAAGTTTCTCTTCCTAATGCCAAAAAAAGGTCCTCCGCTGACTGGGATGACTTCCTTATGGACGAGCTATTTTTAAGGCACTCATCCAATAGCATCCTTCCCGAAGCAGACTTTCTTTACAAGAACTTCATAAGAAGCATTGAGGAAACGAGGAACATAATGAGCATGGCATCATCAATGTAAAGACCTGAGAATTTGAGAAAGTGAGTCAAGTCGCGATTCAAAGTGAGAAAAGCGAATTTTGAAAAAGCTCTATTCTTGACAAGTTATGTGCTTACCACTTTGCGCGGATGTGGCTGCAGGAAGTGCAGGAATCTTGACGGCTGAATTTCCAAAAGAGTTGAGAGTTAAAATATTATGGATGTAAACTAGAATAAAGGCGAAATGTATCCACGGTGATTGATGCGGTGTGCAAAAATGAATGAGCTTAAGGGGCTAGACATACTTGTCTTGCATGATGAAGCTGACACTTGAGATGTATTCGGCCATGGGGCGGGAATATTGTCATTGAGATCACAAAGGAAGCTGATCCCAGAAGTGTCAAACGCAGCATCGGAGGGCATACTTGGCAAAAGGCATCCATACTCTATCATGGAAATGATGAAGCAAATGTTAGTGATGAAAGAAACGGAAAGAAGAAATATACGAAGTTGGAAAAAATCCTCGGCAGTTCAAGTCCCATGACACTCTCGAGGACAGCACAAATACATACACACATACATACTTACATGTACCCAGTCAACTATGTGATCCATGCATTACCATGAGATACGACAAATTCTCCAGGAAAAAACTAAAGGGCTAGATAAAATACAACCAGACCAGTGTTCATTCAAGAATAACGAAACAATGCATGTTAAGTAATAAATTACCTTGATTACCGACTGAGGTACATTTGTCGATGGCCGGATCATTTTAAGAAGTAAAATCACGAAAAGAACACATATTAGTACGGGCTGTTAATTAGTGCAATCATGAATTGGAAAAACGGAATTGAGAGACAACACAAACCTTGGAGGGAGAAGTCCTTGAGGCTTATATGGCACAGACTGTACACATCTCTGGTAATATTTGATTTTCGCAATTTCATTCCCAATGATGTAGCACAATCCAAAGCTTGCAAGTTGGTAATGAAGCTCTGCTTTTGCAAGTGGGACACATAGCTTTCCATGGCTGTACAGCATGCAGTCGGGTTACTTACCTCATTCCCACAATCCTTCGCAACATGTCTCATGTCAGGGAAAACCAAGGGACAAACTGGACAATAATGCAGAAAAAATTTTCTTCTCAAAAACACAGATAAAACACTGCTGATACCAACTGAAGGGGTTGGTGTGATCAAGTAATCTCAGCAGAGAATACCATAGAAACGAAATTAAAGAGTAAAGTTTGTACGTCGTGTTCATTGTTCTCGAGGCTCACCTTTGTTAACTTTGCAATTAGACAGTCCCCTGAGAACTTCCTTAGCATGAGCAGGAGAAAGTTGACTTGCTAGCCAGCGGAGCACAATATTTTTACAATCATTGACCTCACTTGAGTGCTCAGGTAAGACATGCGATCCAGCCATGCTCAAAAGATCAGAAGCTTTCAACGAAATCTTTGTAGCAGCTTCTAATATGGCGTTCTGACAAATTTGCTCACAGCATTCTTTCACAGGATTGATTTTCTCGCAAGCAGCAAGCAACTTGGAAGTGTCGACAGTACTCTCAAATTCATCAACATCTTTTACAGGGCAAGATGCTTCAGTAAGATATGTTGAACGGATCGAGCATATCTGCCTCAAACTGTCATTTGCACCCTGGCCCACTAAAATCTGCTCAATATCTGACAAGCAATGTTTGGCAGTGGTTCCATTCAAAGCGAGCAAATTGGTATCTTTACTCGATTGACCAATGAGAATTGCAAGGGTTGCTTCCAACTGTGGGCAGCAAATCACATTAGCCAGCAATGGTGCAAAAACAGACCAGCAATCTATTGATGTGGTACTCATCAGGCCCTCAGCAGCCGTAAAGTTCAACGCACACATTCCTGCACAAAGAGTGCCAGAGAGAATTTGACATCTGAGCCAAAAGTTTTCTAAAAAGGAAATTCCAAAGAAGTGCTTTCGAGGAGGAAAAACCTGATAATTTCGGGGAAGTTGTATTTGTATACGGTGCCAAAGGTGACGGTGCAAGAAGAGGAAGAAAAGGCTGAGGTGTTCCACTGGGGGATATCTGAGGAAGCATATCATCATTTTGTTGATGTACCAATTCATGATAGTTGTTAAAGTCTAAAGGGCTGGAACACGATTTCAGGCAACCTATACAAAAAGCATGGGGATTACAGAGTAAAAATGTAATCAGCATTCACAAGTTATAAAAAAAAAATAAAAAATAATAAAATAATAAAAAAATAAAAAAAAACACTCGTATATACAGATGATGAGGAAGCCACAAAAAACTCGTATGATGTAGATCAAAGGACTAAGCTTTCAAGATACTGCGGAGACAATCCTATAAAAGGATGATAAAAGAGCCTCAGATAGAATCATGTACAATTGAAACCGATTTCGAGATGAACCAACAAATGAATACCATATCCAAGAAACGAGCCTACGGGAGAACATTGAGAAATAAACTGAATCTCTAATACATGGAAGTTAGAACAAATACTGCGGCAAGCAACCAACATATTATGGAATTCCTTTTACTAACAATACAATACTTTGTAGAGTACGAAGTCGATTTATCACAAAAATTGTCGCTAGATTATTTTGGTAAACTAGCGTATTATGAGATAACTATCAAGTATTATCCCTCACTTGAAAAGTTCCCGATGAAGACCAATTTTTACACGCACCCAATAAAGATCTTCCTTTCCTCAACAATATTTCAGTTGTTAGAAGTAGAACAATAGCAATTTTGGGTGCCAAAAGAAGCATTTTCAGCCTTAATGTATCTAACAGAAGTTATTAAAGCAAACCCGTACTGACTCTGACACCAATTAACCCCAAACCAAAAACAAAACGTGCTTAAAACAAGAAAATCTTAGGTCATTTAGTAAATTGAACAACAAAAAGAATAATTTTTTTTTTCTAAACTAAACCTACATGTACAAGTAAAAAACAGGAACAAAAAATATTAACCCACACAAAGAGAAACAGAAGAATATCCAATGCAATATATTCCTAAAAAGTGGTATTAAAATTTAGAACATTATCTCAAACTAATGGCCATAAATTTCCTTTTTCTCAAAGACCCAACAATTAAAGCTCGACATTTAAGCAAAACCCAGCAACACAATCATCCAAAGCAAGGCAATTTATATATGACCCAGCAAACAGAACTCGCAGATCATAACAAAACAATATCCAAAAAATCCATTAAAGCAGCTATTAACCAAATAAATAGTTTAAAAAAAGAAAAAAAATACTCACCAAAGGACAGGAGAAACAGTTGTAAGCAAACGACACTGAGGCTGAGCTCGAAATGAACCTTTTTTCTCATGCCTTCACTTGTAAAATATCTCCCAACTAACAAAACCATCAGAAAAAATGAAGTGAAACAGAGAAAGAGAAAGCAAAAAACAATGGGGTTTTTTGAGTTAGAAGAAAATAAAAGAGAAGGGACAAAGTGAATGGAGTAATGGGTAATGTGAACAAACAAAGAAGAAGAAGAAGCAGCAGAAGAAGAAGAAGAAGAAGAAGAGGAGATAGGAAAAGAGAGAAGAAGAGAGTGAAGAAGCCATGAATGAGCTTCAAAGTGTGTGGGGACGGAGGCAGAATCAGTAATAGCTGTCCCTGCATAGGAGTGAAGTAGGTCCCACTTTTTGCCTCACAAATTACCCAGAAATTAAAATATAAATAAATATTAAAAAAAAAAGGAAAGAAACTGAGACGCATTACGGACGCCACCACCGCATTAACGACACCATGGCATCAATCGCTTGTATTCCCATCACCACCGTAAGAATGATTTTTTTAATTGTTTTATTTTATTTATTTATTTGAATTAAAGAGACCACTAGCATTCACTTCGCACGTTGGACGCGTGTGAGGGCAGCTGAGGGATGTTTGCTCACGTGGTTATGGACCCTCTCGCACGCTCTGACACTGAGATGCAGGTGAAATTACTCGCGCGTGTAAGTGGACGCGTGGCAGTTAGTTGTTCGGAATAAGAGCTCGCTGACTCGGTGCTTCCTTTCCTTTAAAAAAGAATAAATTTTAATTTTTTTTATTTAAAGAAATTTTATTTTATTTTTTGGCTGTTCCAGAACAATTTTGGATAGTTTCTTTTTCCTCAAAAAGAAAAACAAAACCGTTCAAAAAAAAAACCAAAAAACGCTTGTTTTTTTTGCTTGTAAAAGAAAAAACAAAAAAAAATATTCACAATATTGTTCGCCGCTATGAGTATTGAGATCATTTTACGTATCTTGCTCGCCTCTAAGCTATGAGTATTGAGATAATAGTACCTAAACTTCTAATTTTGATGAATTATTTTATAAATTTTTATTTTTGCACATAATATAAATTATTGTTTAAAATTTCCAAATTATAACGCCGGCATATGATTATAAGATGATACGAAAAAAAAAATCTCGACAAAAAAAAACTAAAAAGAAAAAAATAAGATATGAAATAAAAAAAACCGGACTATGTCGCCAATTTATACTAGCATTCAGCTGCTCCAGAGGTTGGATTTTCATCTTATCCGACTATTAAGTTAACGGGTTCGTTTGGGTTAAGATTTTGCCAATTTAATGAAGACTCAACTGACCCAATATAGCTATGAATAAGAAGATTTTATTTTAATAGTTTTTCTTGTGTTTTTTTTTCTGTATTTTATGACTTGTGCATTTGAATTTCTTTTGTCGATCTTTTATAATTATATTAGTTTATGTTGGTGGTTTTTTTTTTAATGTATTTTAGCTTTCTTTCCTTATATTTCTTATTTTTGTGTTGAATGGTTGGTTTTATTTTATTTTTTATAAAGTTTAATCTGTCTTATCCACCCAACTCAACCCGACTTTAATAGTTTTGTTGATTTAAATAGGTTAAATATAAATCAGATCACATAAACTTGGTTGAGTATAAGTCGAATCACAAAAATTCCATTTCAAATAAAAATGCACTTCCCTTCCAAACACACCACTTTCAACATATAACATACCAAAACTAATAAAAAAATAATAATAAAAACCCTAATCCTATTTTCTTCTCCTCTCCTTTTTTAGTCTCTCCCTCTATTCTCTCCCTGCACCGCCACCATAATCCCTTCTTCCTCTCCACACCGCCACCGCTCTCCCTTTCTTCCCTTCCACATCACCATCCGATCGTTCTTCTTGTGCGCTTCTGACATTGGAGCTAATTTTTTGCTAAGCGACGACAAAAATAGCGAATCTAGTTAAAATATCAAAAACAAGCTCCAGATGTAGTTAAAATATTTTAAAAAAATAGTAAAAATCACATGTAAAATACTCGTCAAATTGTGAGAAATGGTTGGAGCTATTCGAATATTTGGGAAAGTTGGAAGAAGGATTTTCTCCTCTCATTCATCTGAAAAACTTGCAAAGAGAAAAGGAAAAACATATACCAGCCAGGGCAGAGGGCACACACACATCGTGCACATTTGTCCAGCTCAGCAACAGAAAGAGAAAATAAAACAAATAAAAAGTAGCTAATAGGTCCACTACTTTATTTTATTTACAAAAAGAACCCAACTATCTTAATACTCCCCCTCAAGATGGAGAATGGATGTTGTGAATTCCCATCTTGCCAAGTAGAGTAAGGAATTGTCCAGGAAATAAAGGCTTCGTTAGCAAGTCTGCTAATTGATGTTGTGAAGGGACATGTAGCGTCTTTAGCACACCTGCTTGAATTTTCTCCCTAACAAGGTGACAGTCGATTTCTATGTGCTTCGTACGCTCATGAAAAACAGGGTTGGCTGCTATATGCAAGGCTGCCTAGTTGTCACAAAATAACACTGCCGGCTTATGGTGGTCTACATGCAAATCCTTGAGAAGAGAGAACAACCACATGATCTCACAAGTTGCATTCGCCATGGATCGGTATTCTGCCTCCGCTGAAGACCTTTACACGATCTGTTGCTTCTTAGATTTCCATGAGACAAGTGAGTCTCTAATGAAAACACAAAAACCACTAATGGACTTCCTTGTATTGGGGCAAGCAGCCCAGTCCGAGTCAGCAAAGGCTTTTAGCTCTATTGCCGAGGTAGAAGAAAAGAAAAGGCCCTGACCAACTGTGCCTTTCAAGTATTGCAAAACACGGTAGGCTGCCTGCAAATGAGTCACATTTGGGTTAGCAAGAAACTGACTTAGCCGATTCACTGAATATGAGAGATCCGGCCGTGTGATAGTGAGATACAACAATTTCTCAATCAGTCTCCTATATTGGAAAGGATCTTCCAATGCTTCTCCATCATTCTGGGAGAGTTTCACATCACCATCCATGGGTGTCTTCCTGGTTTTACAGCCAAGCTGTCATGAATCTGAGAGAAGATCCAAGGCATAGTGTCTTTGGCTGATGGATATTCCTTTGGCAGACCTAGCAACCTCAAGCCCAAGAAAATATTTCAAGTCTCCAAGGTCCTTGAGTTTAAATTTGCTGTCAAGGAATTGTTTGAAAGCTGTCACATAGTTCAAGTCATTGCTAGCAATCACTATGTCATCAACATAGACCAAAAGAGCAACAAAGGAGGAACCTTGAATCTTTGTGAACAAAGAGCTGTCCGCATTTGATTGCTGGAAGCCTTTAGCAATGAGGACGCTTGAGAATTTTGAGAACCACTGTCGAGAAGCTTGCTTAAGTCCATAGAGGGACTTATGAAGCTTGCAAACGGCATTGGATGGCACAATCTCCCCCTCACGGTGAAGACCAGGAGGCAATGTCATGTATACTTCCTCATCAAGGTCACCGTGCAAGAAGGTGTTATTGACATCAAGTTGGGTTAAACTCCATCCATGAATGGCTGCCAAGGCAAGCAATGTCCTCACAGTGACCAGTTTTGCTACTGGTGAAAAAGTGTCAAAATAATAAACATCCTCTTGTTGAGTGAATCCCTTAACAACTAGGCGAGCTTTGTAGCGCTCTATGGAACCATCTGCCTGATATTTAATCCAGTAAACCCATTTACAACCAACGGCGTGTTTACCAGGAGGCAAGCTAGTCAGAGACCAAGTCCCATTCCTTTCAAGAGCCTGCAGTTCGGCTGACATGGCTTCACGCCACTCTGGAATAACAGCGGCCTCAGTGAAGGTGGTAGGTTCAACATTGGAGGAAATAGAGTGAACAAGGGTTTTATGAGGGATTGACAGCTTGTCATAAGAAAGCACGTTGGACAGTGGATTAGCAGTGGAACCGGAAACATGAGGAATGGAAAAATAGTGGTAATCCCGCAAATAAGAAGGAGGTTTTCGAGTTCGAGTAGGATGCACAATAGCATCAGGAATGCTGACAAGAGGCGGTGGAGGAGAAGAATCAGGAAGAGAGAGTGGCAAAACCTGATTAGAAAAGAAATCCTGAGGACTAGAATTGGAAGGAGAATCATAAAACGGGAAGATTGTTTCATGAAAAATGACATCTCGTGAAATGAAAATAACATTGGTTGTGAGATTAAGAAGCTTGTATCCAGGAGGATACCTCAGAAAAATAGCCTTGATGGCACGAGGAGAGAACTTGGTTCTATGTCTAGCTAATGTGGAGCTATAACACATACAACCAAAAGCTCGTAAATGTGAATATGAAGGCTTCCTTTTCCACATGAGTTCAAAAGGGGTTTTGTTGGACAACAAGGGTGAAGGAATGCGATTGATTAGGTAAACCGACGTAAGGACACAATCCCCCTAATAATCTAAAGATATGTTGGACTGGAAGTGTAGAGCGCGTGCCACATTTAGAATGTGCTGATGTTTGCGCTCCACAACAGAATTTTGTTGGGGGGTATCGACACAAGAATGAAAAGGAATGATGCCATTTGTGCGAAAGAATTCAGAGAAGGCCAACTCAGGAGCATTGTCAGAACGCACTGACTTGATCTTTATGCCAAACTGTGTGTTTATTAATGAGAAAAAATCTGGAAAAACAGTTGTGACTTCAGACTTTGTCCGCATAAGGTATACCCAAGTAAAACGTGTGTGATCATCAACTATGGTGAGGAAATAGCGGTAACCTTCTGTGGTTAAATGGTGAAAGGGTCCCCAAATATCACAATGTATCAATTGGAATGGTGAATTAGTCATGGAATTATTTGAAGGAAAAGGCAACCTACATTGTTTAGCCAAATGACAAATTGAGCAATGATCACATTTATCAGAAACATCAGAAATTTTCAATTCATTCCTTAAAACATTGAGTTTTACATATGAAGGGTGTCCCAAACGACAATGCCAAAGGTCACTTTGTGACAAAGAAACATTATTACAACTTTTTGATGAACTAGGAAATGAAGAAGACTCAGGTGCAAAATTGTGGAGGTCCAGAAAGTAGAGGTTTCCATGTCTCCTACCCGTCCCAATCGTTGTGCCCTGAAAATGGTCCTGGATGGCACAAGAGTTAGAGAGAAAATTAATGGAGTAATGATGAGCTTGGGTAAGAGCACTAATGGACAAGAGGTTAAAATGGAATTGTGGTACATACAGGACATTATCCAACACCAAGCTAGATGACAATTTTATTGAGCCTATTCGGTCAATTGACACAGTGTGACCAATTGGAAGGGTGACATGAGAGTTAGAAACGAGAATGGATGACGTGAATGAACTCAATGAGCAACATACATGGTGAGTTGCACCAGTGTTAAGAATCCAATGTGATTTAGAAATGGAATTAGTGGAAAAAGTAGAGGAGAGGGATAATATACCACTGAAATGTGAGACTAATGGTCCAGACTGCTGCTGATCAAGAGTGGCGCGTGTCATGCCTTACAGCTGTGTGGTCAAGAGAGCAATGAGCTGTTGGCACTGATTAGATGTGTGGGCATTGAGGGGTTCTGAGGAAGCAGAGCAATTCTCTTCTGAAGAAACCGCAGCAACTTGGTTTGTTTGAGCTTTGGCTTGTGGACCCCTTGCTTTCGTTTTGAACCTAGGAGGAAAACCATGAATCCTATAGCATTTCTCAACAGTGTGCCCTTGCAAGCCACAGTGTGTGCAATGTGGTCTGTCACGTTTGAACTTCTGGCTCAAATTGGCGGAAGAGGCAGCAACTAAGGGCTTCTGATCAGCACTAAAAATGTTTGGCTCAGAGGAAGGAGGTAGAACTTGACCAATCATCCTCTGCCTCTCTTCTTGGAGCACAAGTGCAAACACTTTTGAAATTGGGGGCAAGGGATCCATCATTAGGATTTGAGAACGAATCTGAGTGAAAGACTCATTGAGACCAACAAGAAATTGCATAACATATTCCTGATGTTGGTAATCTAACCAGGTTTTCATTCCTCCACATCTACAAACTGGTATAGGCCGAAAAACCTTAAGTTCATCCCAATAAATTTTCAGTTTAGTGTAGTAAGTGTTCACATCCATGGATCCTTGTTGCAGTCCAGTTAGACAAGTTTTAAGTTGAAAAATTCGTGGACCATTGCTCTGATTGAACCGATCATGAAGATTGTTCCAGATCTCAAGAGTCGTGTCCACATAGAGTAAACTATCAGCTATATCCCTAGCTAATGAGTTCAAGATCCAGGAAATTACCATGCTATTGCAGCTAATCCAAACCTTGAACAACAGATCGTCGGAAGATGGGCGAGGGAGGCTTCCATCCACGAACCCAATCTTGTTCGGTTCCAAGTATTGTAGTTGGAACCAGTGAGATGATGAGAGACTAGGACCAGCCCTGGGTGATCCCCGTTGTGAAGAAAGTATGGGCTACTTGAATCTTCCATTTGTGACGAGCTAGGGGAACCGGAGGAACCAGTGATTTGGACCTGACGATTGTTCCCTCTCGCCATGAAAGTTCAGCGAAGCTTCTGCTCTGATACCATATTCGAATATTTGGGAAAGTTGGAAGAAGGATTTTCTCCTCTCACTCATCTGAAAAACTTGCAAAGAGAAAAGGGAAAACATATACTAGCCAGGGCAGAGGGCACACACACATCGTGCACACTTGTCCAACTCAGCAACAGAAAGAGAAAATAAAACAAATAAAAAGTAGCTAATAGGTCCACTACTTTATTTTATTTACAAAAGGAACCCAACTATCTTAATAGGAGCATATGACTGCGAAATAGAGTGATCAATCTTAGTTATAGAAAATAATGTTGATTTTTTTTCTTTTTTCATTTTGCAAAAGGAAATATATTTATGTGGCAATGAAGAATGCTCAAAATCAAGAATGCATGGATGAGCATATAACATCTTTGTATAAACAAGGACAAAACTAGCCACAGTACAATGGGACACAAAAATTCAGTTTCCACACTATCAAGTTAAATGTTAAGCTTTAGAGTAGAACTACAGTATATTTCTTGTTTTTTTGGAATGTACGTGTATCCTAAATTTCAACCATTAAATAAGGGTTTACCTATATAAAATAAGGCTCAAAATGATCTTCATCTTTTAAAGATTTGCATCTTTCATCACGAAGCACTTGACAGGGAAAAAAGAAAAAAAGAAAAAAAAATCTCCTTTAATTTTTATTTCATAACAGAACTTGAAAATTCGATGTACATCTCAAAAATTACAGGGATGTACCATAATTTTGTTCAAATCTTTATGATTTTCTAACTAACTCACCATGTGTTTGTTTTATAGGTTTAAACTGTTGTTAAACCTTTTTAGTAAAATATTTCTTCTCATAAAATTTAAAGTTCTGTTCATAATTTTTTTTTTTGTTCAAATGGGCCCTCATGTTTAGCAATTCTTTTGTAATTATTTTAGTGTTATGTTCTTCTTCTCTTCTCTTTAGCAAAGATAGAAAGATCTTTACAAATCATATATATAAGAGCTGCCATAGAATCTTACAAATAGTTTGAAGTAAAGACTCCTTATCAGCTGAGCTTAATTTATCTTTATATGCATCAAAAGTACTTTAGAGTTTTGAATATTATTCCTTTTTGCTTTGAGAGTGGTTCTAATTTGAGTCTTTATTTTACTTCGTTCTATAGTTGCTTTGTTCTGTTATGTCATAATCTAGCGGATCTTTTGTCAAGATTCTGCTGACCTTTTGATCATTTAAGGTCGAAAAAATACAACGGAAAGACAGGTGGAAATTATAAAGAGACAAGGAGAGGTACGAGGAATATATTTCCAAACAAGAACCTTTCAAATTTACAAAAAGCTTTTTACCCAGCGACAAACTAGAGAGACCACGCTTTCAGGAAATAAATGAAGGCCACAACTAAAGAGATCACATAAAGCTTACATATTTCCAAAAGATTTAGGAATAAGAATTTTCACCCGAACAATAAAGATCAAACTTAAACTTACCCTTATTTTTGGGCAATCTAGGATGGCTAGCACTTGAATTGCGAGATGTTTCATATATACCTGATTATCCTCCTTTGTTTTACTAGTTGACGGGGTATTTTCGTCAATAGAGAATGAATATGTGTTAGTCTTTAATTATAAACATGAGTTTTAAACACCATATTCATAAATTCTAATACCATGTTAAAGGGTTAATTTCAATAATAGTATTCATGAATAAATGATTATTAATTTTAGCACAACTTTTATATACTTTCACAATTAACATCATCATGTCAGCAAAAGTGGGACCATACCATTTTTACTTGAGTTAAAATGATAATTGTGCTACCTTTCAGTTTTAAAGCCTTAAATATATATATATATATATATATATATATATATATATAAGTGTGCACAGTATTGGAATTTGTTTCCTAAATTATGTATTGATTCTAATCGTTTTATGATTGGCATTATTTTAGGAATGATTGGCTGGTTGATTGTGTTTGAGAATAAATGTGCAGCTGGCAAGCTCTTTATGAAAAGTTTCTGTAAGAATCTGGAAACTTAATTCAGTTACTGTTTTTGAAAAATCAACTATTGATCCTAAGATGGTAAATTGTTAATTGGTGATTTGATTGATATTTGATTGAGTTTTCATAGCTGTATGATCTTCCTCTGTCTCCTAAGAACGTGTCCAGGTTCATATATCAGTTTCAGAATTAAAGCAGATTGATTCGGATTGGTTTTGAGAAGGTCGACCTTGACAGCTATGTTGCAGTTATTGTTGCAACAAGGATCTGCAATAGATTTGGTTCTGTGAATTAATTGAAGAGGTCGTCAAGCTGTTATCATTTTTGCTTATTTATTCAAAGAGTCTCTTGTATCTCTGTACACCTTTTGATTAGTTTTGATGAGTTGTGAGAAAGGTGAGCACTTGTATTCAAGAGAGATGATTTGAGTGTTTTTCGAGAGAAAAAATTAGTTGGAGGGATTCCAATGTTAAAAAATCGAGGGGATCTCGCTGTTCAAGTCCATTGGAAAATTGCAAGTTCATAGGCGTCTTCTTAGAGAGTGAGTCTCGGGTAGATTAAGTTCAATTGAATTGTAAAAGAGTTCTTAGTGGATTGTTCATCATCTGGGCGTGGCCCCGCGGAGTAGGTTGTTACCGAACCGTGATACCATTTCTCTCGTGTTCTTTTATTTTACGTTTCTGCATTATTTATATTGTCTTATAAAGTATTAAAAGACTCAAACCGGTACCAACAATTGGTATCAGAGAATGTCATTGATGTGTGTTTCGGTGAGGTCCTAGTGTACTGGTTGATTTTACAGGAATGTATGTCATGAGGAATGAGGATTTGTGAACAAACCACTGTTTCTGAAAGGTGTCAATTACCCCTATTGGAAGGCTTGCATGAAAGCTTTCATTAAAGCTATTGATGAGAAGGCATGATGATCTGTCTTAACCGGATGGACATATCTAACAACTAAAGATGATAAAGGCAATACCGTTCCTAAACCAGAAGAGGAATGGTCCAACGATGAGGACAAGCTAGCAAACAGTAATTCAAAAGTATTGAATGCCATTTTCAATGATGTAGATGTTAATCAATTCAAATTGATTTTCACATATGAGTCTGCTAAAGAATCGTGGAATATTCTTCGAACTGCACATGAAGGTACGGATACTGTGAAGTCTTCAAAACTTCAAATCCTCACAACTCTTTTTGAACGCTTGCGTATGGAGGAAGATGAGTGTATTGTCAATTTCAACTCAATGCTTTGTAATATTGCTAACGAAGTCTTCGCCCTTGGAGAAAAATATCCTGACACCAAATTGGTGAAAAAGACCTTGAGGTCACTTCCAGCATGTTTCGCTTACAAAGTAACAGCCATCGAATAAGCAAAAAAAGTGGAGAATATGAGACTTGATGAAATCATAGGTAATCTTGAGAGTATTTGCACACTCTGCTTCTCCGGATTCCGAGATAAAGGTGAAAACTTTGTTGGCTTTTATTTTTTATTTGTTTTTTTTCTTACGTATTTATTGTTTTTGTTCTTTTACCATTTTCTGTAATCTTAGAAGAAAAGAAAGGCTTTAGAGGAGGAGATAAAAGCACATAAGGTCAGTTATTTAAAACTTTTAGGGGTCATTGGATTCTCATTGTGCTCCTTATTTGTTCTGTGACTCTGCCTAATGGCCGGTCATATCATTCTGACTGTTTGATAATTTTATTATGACTGGTCATAAGACAAGCACATCGTGCGGTCATAGTAATATAACCGACAGTCATAATTAGTATGACCGCCCAATAAGCAGGCAGGCGCTGCTGGTCTCCGAATTGAATTCGGATGCGGAAGCGTGAGGGGGTGGGGGAGGCGGATCGTGTATAACAAAAATTTTCACAAAACTTTTGAGATACTATATAGATTATATTAATTTATGCACGAATAAATTAATCATATTAATTTATATATTAAGAACTTAAATTACGAATAATACCCGGCGGCCAATTAGGATGATAACTTGAGTTCTTAGACCTCGAACAATCCTTGCTCCAAAGGTTTGTGTTTAGAAAACCAATGTCTTCCACGCCAATTTCTAGAATCTACGAAGACGTGTGTGTGGGCACACCTGAGACAAAACGGGTTAGAATAAACACTCAAATTTCCACAAATACCAACGCATGCGTGATGTGGAATTTTTAGAGAAAAATTTTTCCTTCCCTCTCTAAGAGAATTTCGGCCACCCTATTCAAATTAGGACAAAAATTATCTCGCGCAATTTTTTATCATTCTTTTATTTATAGAGTAGAAGTCAAACTTCTAGAAAGAATCTAATCTCTATCTCCAAGATAAAGCTTGTTAATTATCTCCTATTTGAATTTGAAACAAAATCTCACATACCCTTATCCTTAGTGTGGCCGGCCACCTTAGGGAATTCTCATCCCTGTGTGGCGCCAATTTGCAGATAGGGAAGGAAGAGAAAATCATCCTTTATCCTGTAGTCTAATTTTGACACAAATTCAAATTCCAATTTAAGTCAAACTTAAATTAATTTGAATTCTAAATTGAACAACTTATCAAATAAGTTTAAA